AAAACCGCTAGTGTGCTGAGGATGTTTAAGGTTCTTTCAGAGCTGGCTCTTTCCATTAAAAGCAAATAAAACTAGCTAAAATTCAGATAGAAAGAGCTACCTGGTAAACTGAACAAGTACAATTTCTCTACTTCCTATAGTGTAAATTACCAGGACAAAAGATATCTCCTTCTAAGTTACCTAATTACATAAAAGCAACATCAAAATGTATTTCTCTGAAACAGATTAGTTAAAAATAGAATATTGTATATAGTCATGTATAAGTCTCAAAATTTTAGTAAAAATATTGACCCAAAGACCTGTATTAAGTTATTCACAGATCAATGGAAGTACTGTTCTTTAACTCTTAAAGAAAGAAAAAAAGAAACCATCTATTCCTCTGAGTAAGGTGATAAAGGATTTCATTCTGGAAGAACCTACAGGTTAATGTCAGCAGTGGCATCCAGGGGTGGCTGACCCCTGAAGCGGCACCGGCACTTTGCTCTCTCAATTAAATTGCACTCAACTGATCCATGGGCCATATTGAAATCCATAACTTTGGCCACAAAATCTTAAATTCTAAATGAGGTTGATGTATACGCAAGTATATGAAGTAAATGAAACATGATGCTTTAGGAAAGTTGACAGTATGACTAATGACCAGGTTGGAAATCAGACCTGTGACTCTTCCCCTATATCCATAAAAACTGCTATGTGACCTGATGTTTTCACACCCAAAATTTGTCAGTGAAATGACGCCACATATCTTTTTCAAAAAAACGAAATGTTGCTGGGAGCCGTGGAGGTGCTGAATATGAAAATCTGAAATACACACATTCTTATCTGTAGGGTTTATTGAAATACCTGGTTTTAAAGCATCTGAATGAACAAGACAGGCAGTACATTATCGGTTTTGCATTTGACTCAATGCACTTTGTATTTGCAGAATTTGGCTGTGTAAAACTGTCTTTGAACCTCAACAAATGGAAACAGCTTCCCTTATTTGCAAGCCTATTTTTACGGGTAACACACACAAACGCATACACGCACACACACTTACTTATACACAAAAACAGATTCTTATTAAGCTGGGTAACAGTGCCCCCTAATGGAAAGATAAAATAACCACCTATTTTTGATTTAAAAAAACAGAATAAACCTTTTACCATTATCACTGTGAAGAAACATTATTTTTAATCCAGCATTTTATTAATACCCAATTGAAAATTATTTCAGGCAACAAGAACACACAAAGGATTAATTCCGCCTGGTGGTATTTGAAAGGAGATACTGAAGTTCACCATTAGACAGGTATCCTTTAAAGCAGTGTTTCTCAACCTGTGGGTCCCCAGATGTTTTAGTCTTCAACTCCCAGATATCCTAACAGTTGGTAAACTAGTTGGGATTTCTGGGTGTTGTAGGTCAAAACATCTGGGGACGCACAGGTTGAGAACCACTGCTTTAAAAGATTTTAGTAGTACAACGAGGAAGATAGGGACCTCAGAAGGGAGTGATGCGTTCAATATAACTGAAGAGCAATAGGCTGGGAAAGCCTGATTTCTGTACATGTAGCTCCAGCAGATCACTGTTTTGCAACCATTTAAGCCTCCTAGACCACCAAGGTGTCACGGCTGTGTATCAAAAAGAAATGCAAGTTCCAAAAATCACTCTTGTGGAGCATGTATTCTATCAAACAAAATGCCTGGCTAGTAAGCTATTTAGCCTCACTTTTGCTTGAGCCACAGTGACAGCTCCTTGGGGCAGGAGATTACTAGGCAATACTGGTATTATATCTACAGCATGTTATGAACTCCTCTAGATAGTTTTGTAGATACACACACAAATGGTTGGAATGGTTGGACATCCTTAGGCCAAATACAATGTACAGTTTTTTTAAAGGATTCTTGTGGCACCATGAAGGCTAACAAGTTTTATTTGGCACAAGTTTTAATGGGCTCAAGCCCATTTCATCACGTGTCATTAGAAGTGGGTTGGCATCTACAACCACCTTAGGCGAAATAAGACTTGTTGGTCTTCAAGATGCCATAAGGCAGCAATTCTTGCTGCCACATACTAAAATAATTCCACTATGCCTCTTGGAAATGTGTGGAGAGGAAAACAGTGTGCTAGTAGAGTTCTGTTGGATTTCACTTTTGTCTAAATAGTAGTGCATGCATACACCCTGGTGGGATACACTGTTCTACTAAACAAGGCAATTGGACATCAGATGTTGCTGAAACTCCATTATCCCTACGTGGAAAAGAATTTTAATGCATGTCAATCTGTGTTTGTAATGGTTTAGAAAGAAAAAACACGCCATCTTAAGGCTGCATAAACAAAAAAACAAAACAAAAACAAAACAGTAGTAGGTACCTAGACTTTAGAGAAGAGCTGGTGAGAACTGGTAACTCTCACATTCTCCCTATACAATTGTTCTATATGTGTAAAGGAACTGGCCATTTACTAGTTAATCAAGAAGGTCTGTAATAAATACTAATAAAGTGGCTTTCAGCATTTGTGGCTTCTCTAGCAAACTACAAGGTCAGCTCATGCTACAGGGATAGATAAGATTTTCACCTTAAAATGTCTGGGAAATTGTTCCTTTGTTAAGATAGGGTGATCACCCCTCTTCTGCCTGGAGAAATAGCTGTCCCTTCCAGAAAAAAAGAAACTACTTTTAATTAAGATTCTAGGCTCTCATGCTGAAAGGAGGGACTCAGCCGTACTCCAGTCAAGAAAGCCAGTCCACTGAAGTAGAACTTGGTTCATCACGGTTTTGTTCAGATGAAGAGATGTGAGCTAACCACATCTTTGCCTTGCATTTCATTGATGTATTTTGCTCAATACTTTGATAAATTAAACCATTGTTTTGGTGCCCCTGAGACTCTGCTTCATTATGACAGACCCACCAGTCTCAACTGGCTTGAGATTGAGGCCCTGAAATCATTACACTATGAGAGTTCTGGAGCAGATTCTAAAATCAGGCATCGACTAATGGCATGGTATTAGTGCTGGTATTAATTTAATTTGTAGCTTCATTGGTCTGAACACCAGCTAAATGCAAATACCTTTGAATTCATCCAGTTGCCACCCTTCACCAAGAATCTGTCTTTCTCTGTTTTGTTTTTTCTATGAGGAACAGCAAGCAAGTGCATTTGCTAGAATGCTGGTAAATTAAATAAGCTATTTTCTTGCCTGTAAAACAGTTGGTGGCAACATAAAACTGGTATGATTCACTGTTGATCACTGCTCTTCAACAAATTGCCCCGGTTCTATCAAAACACACTGCATTATGCACATGCTCCACCACTGTAGATAATCTCTATTCAAGGTTGGGTCGCATATCTATAGATGAAAATCCATGGGGAATGAATGAGAATTGAAGAAACTGAGGACACTGATCATTAATTTGACTGAATTCATTCTAGTCTTCTACTCTCTCATGATTCTGTTTGTCCTTGGAGAAAGAGGTTCAGACCTACTCTACCAAACACCTCTCCAAAAATACTCTCAAAATGAAATATTAGGTAAGAAATTCAGCTGTCTTGAGAGCACCATATCATTCTGTCTAAAATGAAGCAGCTCCTCTAGGCTTCAGTCAACAACATGGTTAATATAAAGACTGGCAGGATGTACAACAGAGAATGCACTAAGACTGAGCAGCAGCAGGTTAAAATAACATCTGACACAGAAAAACAAGGAGTTCTATTCCCAGCCCCTAGCTGTGAAAAAAGGGCACATTTAGCAGTGGGTGCTCATAAGAGAGGAACTTTTACAGCAGAATGACAAAAAACAAGGCACTAAGTAAAATAGAGCTGATAGGAACTGATCAGGAATTATGCTTTCCATTTTTCCAGCTGAGAAATACCATTTACCAGGATGTCGCACAACTAGTTACCACACAACTAGGGTAAGATCTGAAGATAAGGATAAAAACAGCAAGAGCTTTCCACTTGGTTGTGGTCTCTCCACAGAAAGGGAGAGAAAGGAAGGATCTCTTCAGGTGAAAAAAAGCTCTCAATTTTGGTTTCTATTAAGGGTTTTTAGAAGCTCTGAAACTCTAAGTATTCCCTCAATAATCGGGCCAAGATTGGCCTGGTAACTCAGATTGCAATGCTAGAGTACAGTCGGCTGATTTAGTTCTGTAGATGATTCATTTCTCAAAGATATTAGTTCTGACAACATAGTTCCTAAAAATATGATCAAATGGAGTAAAAAGTCCCTCAGCTGCACTAAGATTAATCTCCATTTAAACACAAAATCACATCTCTCCTCTTCTGAAGGGTACTCCAAGTGCCACACACAAACAAAAGAATTCCATTGCTAAATTAGTCCCTTGCACACAATTTGTATTCTTCAGAACTTCAGCCATTCTCTCTCTTCAGGATCTTCGTTGACAAGCTTACAAGTTGGAATGCAGACTAAAAATAATATTTTTTTTAAAAAAACAAACATTTATTGTGCCACCCATGAGACTATGTCATTCATCCTCAAAAGTCATATGTCATGAGACAAAGATGCAGATGTGAAATAATCTAAAATACAGATGAAGAACCAGTGGCTTTCAAGATCTTGGTGAACGGCAGTTCTCATTAGCCCTGCCAGTCTGGCCATTAGTAAAGCTCAATAAGAACAGCAGCTCATCTGCACATGAGGGGAGCACAGGAGAAAAACCCAAATTCCACATAATTTGAGACGATCTTAACAACACCTGAATTTGACACCAAGAACTGACATTTCCCATCCTATTTCACTTGAGAGCAGTACTCTCCCGAGAAGCTCATCTTATACCTAACTTGATATCATTCTGATTTTGGGCAAAATAATTTTAATTCTTCCATGTGTTACATTTGTGTCAGTCTTCTATATTGTAGTGTTTTAATATTTTTGTCTAAAGTGAACTATGAAACATTTAAGACTCTTTCCTGTCTCATCTACAGGCATCAACACACAGGGGTTTTTATGCATAACAATAATCATAAATCCAAGTGGAACTCTGCAGAGTTACCATGAATGGTTACCTTCATCAAAATCAGCATCATCCTCTGTATGTTGAGGGAAGGGAAAGCAGTTGGTGATTTCAAGCCTGTCATCCACCACCAGACCCAGCAGTACACCTTGGACCACTTCATTGCCTTGACCTTCTTCTTGATAATGTTTGATGATCTTCAGTACAACCTGAAATGAAACCCTTTGATTAGTTTGGTGTCATTTAGAACAGAGATGAGCCGAATGTGATCTATGGGACAAATGAAGCCCCCGGACACCACTTTTTTGGCCTCAGGAGCCCCTATCAGCCCCTCAATCACCCCCCCCCCCCAAAAAACTCCTTTAAAATTCCAACATGATTTAGGGGCAATTCTGATTGCCCCATTCTACACCGGTTTCTGCCCCAAATCACACTGAAAGCACCCCAAATGCATGAAAAACGCTTATACTCCTAACACAATCCTCACACTCCATAGAACCCTGCACTACTTCCAAATAATTCCATTTTCCTCTGTAGTTGTTCTCAAAATGGCAACAGGTCATAGACCTGCTAATTGGGAGTTTTGAGAACAAGAGATCATAGAACATTGTCTCCAAATTAAATATTTGTTACCTCTTTACTTTAAGCATTGTGTGAAATTTGTTTGGGTCTCCTTAAACATTTGGTTAATTGACAACAAGACACTCTGCTACTTCACTCTTGTTAATTAGCTGTTTTAATGTGTTCTACACTGCTTTATTTTAATGATTACTTCCATTCTAAACCAGCCTCAGGATATTTTGTGGAAAGCAGAGATTTCAAGAAATGTAAATAAATAAAAAGCTACAAACCAACTACAGTGTTCACATAGGACCTCTTGTTGTCTGCAAGTAGCAAAGACCTTCTAGGAACTCGTGCAATGGGAGGTCCGCAATATACAAAAGTGGTTGTTTTTTTTAAGTGTGAGTGTTGGAAATGTGGCATGCTTCTGCTAAGGGTTCCAGTCAGCACACACCAATCCAAGCTTCCTCCTCCTCTCTCGTATTCCATTCTCCAATAGTCATCCCACATGGCATGATCACAGAACACATTCAGTCTTCAAAATGGGTACTCCTAAATAGACCTTGTGCTTCTGAAAACTTTGGAACTCCTCCAAGAATGCTTGATACCTCCCTTCTTATGTGTAAATGTTGCCCTTTTTGCATCATGGGAATCAGTGCTCAGGATACACATTCTGCTATTACAACAAAGGGTTGATGATTATTAGCTTTCTACAACATCTTTTTTGCTGGATGATAATGATAACAGTCTTTATTTATTCCCCACCTTTTTCACAGGACAGTAAATAGCATACAATGTAATTTACACAATTTAAAAGGAGATAGCCTTCACAGCCTTTTGTTAAATGTCTGACTAAATAAAACAACCTTCACCTAACTCAAGAAATACAGCAAGGAGGAAGCTGTAAAGTAGGGCACTCATTGAGAAAGGGCCCTCTCTCATGTTCCCAGCAACCAACCTTGTGGTGAGTCTGATAAAGAGACATCTCCTGTGGATCTCAGGTGCTGTGAAGGCTCATATCAGGTGGTATGGTCTGACAGGTAGCTGGGACCTAAATCATATAGGGCTTTATAGTCATAATCAGCGCTTTGAACTGTGCCAGAAAACATACGAACAACCAGTGGTGCTATAGAAGCATGGGTGTTATATGTTCCCTTTAGTCAGTCCCACTTAACACTCTAGCTTAAGTTTTTTGTAACAATTAAAATTTCCAAGAACTCTTCAAAGTTACATTATAGTCTTCCAAACGAGATATAACCAAGGCATGTGTAAGTACCTGGAACAAGCAGTTCTAGGAATAGGCACAATGGGCATACAAGGTTTTAGTGTGCAAAAGTATCCTGGCCATTGTGGCAACCCACATAGGTTGTTATCACTTCATCTGCTGATTCAGCAGAGAAGGCTCTATCCCAGACCTGCACAACCTGTGGCCCTCCAGGTGTTTTGGACTCCAACTCCCAGAAACCCTAGCCAGCTTATCTAATGGTAAGAAATTCTGGGAGTTGACCCGGAGGACTACTTGCTCTTGTTGCCAAATTAAAGGGCATGTTAAAGGTCTTTCTTTAGTCTTTCTATGCTCAAAGTAATCACCTCTCTTCTACCTTCTAAAACACTCAACTTAATTAAAACTTCTACAGATAGGAGGAAATGGAACAAGGTGTTCTTTGGATCGTGGCCTAAATGTGAAAACGAGCATAACATGTCAACTAAGCAAAGTTTAGGGCCTACTAGACTCAGAAAAAAGAGCAAAAGGTAATCAAATGCAGAGTGCTTCTGAAATAATCAAGAGGACCCAGAGTCAAATTTCTGCTCAAGCTGAACTAATTACCAAGCAGAAGAGAAGGTTTCATTAAGGAAATTTATATTAGGATTAACCTTCTGCTCAAATACCTTGGCACCCCCTTCGTTAATTGAAATACGCAATAGATATGCAGCCCCATTATAAGATGCACCGATGCATTCCCAGGAAATGATGCAGATATCGCAAATCTTGGCACCCAAATTCAATACAGCCCAAGGGCTAGGTTGTCATGTTCTATTGAACGGAACCAGTAAATATGACAAAAGTCAACTTCTTTCTACTGTAACAAGATCTGCCTTCGATTTGCAATCTCATTTAAAACAAAGGGTGCAATAGAGTATCACCATTATTCTGAATAAATATGTAAGTCACCTGCAAACAAAGTAGAAGCAGAAAAGAGACAAAAGGAAAGAAACTGGTGTCCGAGATCTGAAGGGATTGAAGGCTTTTCATCTGCACCTTTCGCACAGTGCTAGCAATCAGTAACATGACTGTTTTGCTTAAAGAAAATTAACACACGTATTTATGTGTAAGTTTAGTCAAAACACTGACCCCATAAATCTGGGCTAACTTATTTATGGGTGAATGCATGCATTGTTCCTTAACTCTTTTGTTTTTTGTTTGTTTGTTTGTTTGTTTTTAGGAGCCATCCTCTTCTCTGAGTAAACCAATAAAAAGTGAACACTTAGTCTGTCCTGGAGAACCCAAAAGAAGCCCTGAACTTTCCCTACTTTCTCTACCACAATGCACTTCTGCCCTTTTTGAATGCCTAGGCTGTAAAATGGCAGCAGTGATCAGAGATGACCAGTACTCATAGAGTTGCCCTTATCTTTCTCCATGGAATGATCCTTAATTTATCCTTGGGTAACATCAAAATCCGTAATTTTGGCTCCAAAAGCGGCTCTTGTCTATCACAAGGTCAACTTATACATAAGTGTATATGGTAGTCCCTTCTGCCTGAGAACTTAAGGGTCTCAAGAAAAACATGTCTCACAACACAATAGAATCACAGAATCATGGAGTTGAAAGAGACCTTGTGGATCAACCAGTCCAACCCTCTGCCAAGAAGCAGGAAAATCACATTCAAAGCACTCCCGACAGATGTGTGTTCTATCCCTGGTTCGCAGGCCACACCACAGATACTTTAACTTGAAGGAGCAAAGTCCCCAGTAGCAGCTCAAAAGAAAGAGTTCAGGGCAATATGGACTGGCTTCAAACAGTGGAGGAGCGATTCCTGGAGCTGGTGCCATGCTGGGAAGACAATCCCATTCCAGGAGAAAGTATAAATCCAATAAATAAATAGCAACCACTTTGCTTTTTCAAAATGACAGGAGAGTATCAAAGCGATGCGTGTGCGCACAGAGAAGTGGATGGGGCGAGGCGTGTGGAGCTGAGGTGTGCAGGCAGCAGCGGCTATGGCGGGGCAGCAGTTCCAGTACGACCATAGTGGAAACACCTTATTCTACTTCCTCACCAGCTTTGTGGCCCTAATCATCATCCCTATCACCTACTACCTGTGGCCGCGGAACCAGCACAACAAGCAAATTTGCTTGAAAAATTTAAGAAAAGTATATGGAAGATGCCTATGGTATCAATTACGGTTGTTAAAACCCCAGCAGAATATAATTCCTACTATAAAGAAGGCAATTCTGCTTGCTAGATAGGCATTCTTATTCTTTCTTGCCTACAAAGTTTCCAAATCAGACAGAGAATATCAGGAATACAACCCATATGAAGTACTAAATTTAGACCCAGGAGCAAGTGTGGCAGAAATTAAAAGACAATGCTGTTTGCTGTCACTGAAATACCATCCTAATAAAGGAGGACATGAAGTTATGTTTATGAGATTGCATAGGCTCATGCAGCTTTAACTGATAATGAATCTCGAAAAAAAACGGGAAGAATTTGGCAATCCTGATGGGCTACAAGCTTTGGGATTGCATTGCCAGCTTGGATTGTAGATCAGAAATTAATTAGTAAACTTAAATTCAGTCTACAGACCAGTGGTTCAAAATCCCATAGGACTCCTGCACCTCATTTCTGCAGTTCCCAATTCCTTCTAGACTCATTCCTCCTAAGAAAACAACAACTTCAAAACAAATTTCCCCAAGGCCCATTATGAGCTGCTGTTGGGTCTAAATCGACCTGGGTATATCCTAGTTGTCCGGAGTGCAGAGTGGTGAAACAGATTACAGCACAGACCGGCAGTCTAAAAACAAGTGCCAGCAAGAATACAGCCATGGAATTAATAGGAAATTATTTAATAGATCTACTCTAGCATTTGACTATCAATTAAATGTAAGCCTCTCATTGAGCCACTTTCTATCTGGCTCTTTTTAATAGTTTTAGCAGCTACCTACAAAATTCAAAACATCAATGGAAAGATGGCAGGAAAGGTAAAGGAAAGAAATGCTTCCTCTTTGTACTGCCCAATAGAAAAATAATTTGTATTTACAAGTCTCTGACTGCGAACTATCTAACATGTAACATGACAGTGGCATGGCATTTTTACATTCATAAAGCCACCTTGCTATCAATCACTTTTACGCTTCCTTTGTAAGTGCCTAGGACTGCGGAAACAAAGCTACTGGTCTTTTTACCTTTACAACAGATGCTATTAATCTTGTGTAAGCAGCGCTGAAGTCTTATTGATCTGTCAAGGACTAGGTACATAGGTAGAAGGCCTGAAGCATATTTTAAAGGACATCTGCAGCCTTAATGTTATACCAGCATAACCTCTGGCAGGTAAGCCCTGAGGCAGTCTGCATCAGAAGAGGCATAGGTGGCTATTTAAGATTCTAATAAATGACACTGAACATAGCTGACCTAATTTGAGGGGTTAGTATG